GTGGTGGAGGCGGCGGAGGCGGTGGTGGAGCAGGATAAGAATAACTAGGTTGAGGCGCTGGATATCCTTGTTGACCACCGGTTTCCGTTGGTAATGAGAATGGTACATTGGGTCGCTGATAAGAATATCCTGCTTGACGGCCAACGCGCGACCATTGTGCGCCAACGCAATTGATTACCAGTAAGATATATATTACCTACAAATTATAAGTATGTAATGACATTGATTACAATATTGCAGTAAAGGATATTAAGAAACGTGGACGATCAAGACTAAGACATCTTACCCATTTTGACAGCAGCATAAGCATTTCGCATATGCCGGCAACGTTTTATGTCATTCTCTTTTATACAAATGTTTTGCGTCGCCGAATTTATTTTTTATACCCACTCTAAAGACTACATTTGTCTAATACCAATTTACTAACTCAAATACTATATACAATGTGTTAAACCCATTATTATATCACCGCAAGATTGCGGGTTTCAAGTAAGACTGTGACAAATGTTCGTCTTACTAAGAGAAATATTTATCTTGATTCATAAATGTGTTGAAACAAATCTGTTGTTGTTGAAGGAACACAGTAACTATGTAAGATGCAAAGATATAAGAGTCACCAACACATTTATTCTTTTCGTATAGCTGTAGTCAAACATTTTATAATTCAGGAAGTAAAACGAACGAAATACTACGTTGAGAAATGCAAGAACCACTAATGTGGCTGCGTACTTTAATTAGAAACTTCAAGATGAAAAGAAAAATAAACGTTATAATTTAAAAAGAAGACATTTTATTATAGAAGTAAATTATAGTAATTTTCTTCAAAAAAACCACAAACTCAATTCACTGTTATTTTGTAAGCAAAACTTTAGCAGATGATTTATTACCTCAATTTGGCAATAAAAAAACGTAGAATTTCGTACTGTTTTTAATTTTGTTTCAATATTTATATTTACTTGCCTATTTTAAGGTGTTTTAAAGTTATTCGTCGAGTGACGTTTCAGAAAACTCATGTCTGTAGTTAATTTAAAAATCCAAATTTTTCTTGTTTGTTTACTTAAATTTTAAAACATATTCCATTTTCAGTCTTTATTATGTGATATTTTATCAGTATTCTTTCTTGCGACGTACACATAAGAAAAGAATATGTGTTCAAAGAAGTAAGAATATAAATAATACACGTTTTCTTAACGTTTGGTTTTTATTTTCTTCAAACATTGCGTACACAAGCTTAACATACGAGCCACTTTTTTCTCTTTGTTTTTTTTTCGAGTTTAAAAAATTCTATAAAAAAGTTTATAAAAATTTATTAGCGTATTTTGTTGTCAATTTGTCAATCTTTTTTCTTTCTAGGTTTTGTAAAAAAATTCTAATTTTATACGATCGAAAATCAAGCGCTCTTGAAGATGCTCAGATAAGATACTCAGATCCAAACCCACAGAGGAGTGACGCTATCGAAATCGAAGACATCGGGCTGGCCGAGGTGCGAGACATTGGGAAAGCTCTTGGACCAGCTGAAAGGTTCTCTGGACGCCGACGTGCTCGGTCCGGAAATGGCATCGAAACTCGCCACACCCTCGCCGTCGGCCAGCACGATCTTCGCGTCGATCACGCCGAATGGCGTAGAGGCTGATTTTTTCAGATCGCCTCTGTAAGTTAAAATTTGCGCTTGATCCTTGTCCTCGATGCTCGGTTGCTCGTCACTGTGTCCTCCCATCAGCTCCTCGAATTGCTCCACCGTGGTGATGTTTTTCTGCAGACTGACAATCAAGTCGCTTCTCGTCACGTTCTCATCCTCTTTCTCGTCGTTCGCTTCGCCCGGTGTGTTGGTCTCGCGCGAACAAGCTTCTCCAGTGATCCAGAAGACACCGCTGTTCGCGAATCGCTCGGTGATGTCTATCGCGCGAGCACTGGTCCCCGACAAGGATCGTTCAACGAGATGAACAAAACCTTCGCGTGGCTCCAGTGTGACCCATTGCTGCGCCATCGCACCGGTCATATTGTGCGCAGACATGTCGCGAGACCAGGAGCGCCCGTCCGTCGCCAGACGATTCGCCGCCATCACTCTCACGGGTGACATCACCTGTTCAACAAAACAAATCCCAAGATAACCACGCCGACTCTCTTGATTATAAAAATCAATCGAAGCGCCACAAACGATGCAAAAGCGTTTTTGCTCACTTGATCCTTCGCGTTCGTGGAATTCCACAGACTGCGATTGGCGGCAACTGCCGTTACCGTTCCGGCTACGATTAACTCGCGATTATCTCTTACGATCAGATAGAATTCGTCCTGGGACGAAAGCGCGCCGGGATAAGATGACATTACAACCGTTCGACCCGGCACCGGGGCCGCCTTCTTCGGCAACGTGTGATAAGCGAAGGTGTATTTCTTCAGCAATCTCAACATCTTAGCGTATCTGCAAGAGAAATGTGAGTTTAATAGACGTTCCGCGTCAAATCTTGACAATCTGCTTTGATTTGCCATTGATAACGATACACAATACGCACATTTATAAATTATCCTCGCAGCGGAAAAATACAAAACAAGTATTGATCAGAATCCGATGTATGTCAATTTACGCATCATGTTTTTCAGAGCGAGAAGTAACCGAAATCATTTTATTTATCTTAAGAAGTAAAAGAAGAAGAAAAAAAACACTTGCGGCGCAGCAGTGGTGTGTCCAATCGCTATCAACGGATCCAATCCTTCCCGGGTCAAGCTTTTCAAGATGATCATGCCTTTGGTGTGATCGCAGTGGGAATGGAAATCGTTGTTTGTTGATATTTGTTCAAGATCCATTAGATTGGCCATGGCCAGCCAGAGGAAGTGCTCCGAGTCCATTTCATCCACGCCTTCCTGTCGGCTGCGACGAGCCGCAAATCTCCAGCCCGCCTCCAGACCGTCCAGTTGAATGTAAAACAGCCGCACCTGCGATAAATCAAAAAAAGATAGAAAAAAATGATTAAACAAGTAAGAAAATATGATGTTTATGAACCGTTGAAGATTTCTTGTACAAAAAAAAACCAGAAATTGATACAAAGCTTTTGAAACAGGTTGGCGCAACATTTAATTACCATATGCCAAAATGAGTCTGTGACTGCCAAGATCTCGGCGCGTTTGCGCACGATCGCGGTGTTTTCGCGAAGGAATCGCATCAATTTTCGACATTCACCGGCCCGTCTCTCGCAAACGGCGTGCACGGTGTTGTACCAATGACGATGAATCAATTGCCACGTTAAACTGCCCTCCAACAAGCCGGCCGCATAAGCTTGAACGCTGTCCGGATACTTGGATGACGTTTCTATTTCGATGACGGACCATCTGGAACGTATCGTCAATTCTCGTTTCGCTTATTTTAATTGATCTCCCCATTGATATCTGCAGCCGCTCCGATTTGACGTATAGTCGAAGCGCGAACACGTGCGCGAGAGTCTTGCGGGTTATAGATAGATCACGAAGATATCTTTGGAAGAGCTACCAGATAATATCAGGCGGAAAAAAAAGTATTAATTATAATTTTGATAACCAATTATTATACACATAAATTAAGTTTTGTTGCGTATAAAACAACGGTTTTTTTTTTTCAATTCACATTTCATTGACACTTCGCGCTGTGTTTTCGTTTATTTGCATACACAATGTGAATTGCACAAAGCAATATTTGCACATCACACCGCGTGACATTACGAACAAGACGCGCATATACGTTCGAAGATATCTCGCTCGCGCTCGCACACGCGAATGCGAAGATAAATACGCAGATTTTTTTTTCTATCTACGACGACATCGACTTACCCGGACTCGGAGATGCCCGTTTTGTAGTAAGCACGAGCGGCACCGAGTCTCACGTTGGTGAGGTCGTTGCCTTGGCCCCAAAAGTCAATGTGATATCCTTCTTTGTAATAAGACACACTGGCCGCATAAATTCCGTCATTTTCGATTCTAACGGGAACAACGTAAGAACGAATTGAAAATGTCACAACACAGATGAATATTTATATATAAATGAAGAAATTTATTTATATTTATATTTTGTACGCGGAATTATGGGTAATAAATTAAAAAAATTCTCACTCACAGTCCGTATTCGCCCATGATGATGGCGCCGATGCCGAGGAGAGCTACGGCGACGAGTATGTAAGTGGCGAAGCGTGTCTGCAACCACGAAGCTCCGACAACCTTCAACATGGTTCATCGATGTTGTGCTACACACAATCTGAAGACGAAAGGAGGAAATAGCAAAGAGCAGAAAACTCGCATTCTCAACCCATCGATTACCGACGTCCAATCTGCCGCAGGCTTCCTATGACAGATTCTTTAAGGTTCGCCCAGGTCGTGTTGTCCCTTCCGTCACTGCAACAATGTGACAATTGCGAAATTTTATAGGATAGGTATTTCGCTTCAAACTTTTCTACGGTTTCATTTGAGTGACGCGTATTGTGCAAGACTGTGTGTGTCAGTTTTCGTTCTCGGTCATCGAGAACTTCTTTCGAAGACAGAATGTTCTTTCTTTCCTTTTAAAGATTTTGAACACTTGTTCTGTCTTTATTTTGCGAGAGACTATACGAGATGTCATTTGGCCGCAACTCGTTTCGATCGGTTTTTCTTTCCAATTGTTCAAAACAAGATGTATATTGTTTTATTTCGCTACGTTGCTATCACCGAAAAAATTATATTCTCGTAAGTAGAAGATTTTATGCTTAAAAAATCTTCTTCAAGATATTTTAGATGATATTCTTCTGAAATTAAGTTCCTTATTTTAAGATGAAAATCCTCTAAATAGTAATATTGATAAGAATATGTACTGATTAGAATATTTTATACTTAAAAAATCTTCTTCAGATATTTCAGATATTTTTTCTCAAGATATTTTAGATGATATTCTTCTGAAATTAAGTTTCTTATTTTAAGATGAAAATCTTCTAAATAGTAATATTGATAAGAATATATACTGATTAGAATATTTTATACTTAAAAGATTTTATACTTAAAAAATCTTCTTCAAGATTTTAGATGATATTCTTCTGAAATTAAGTTTCTTATTTTAAGATGAAAATCCTCTAAATAGTAATATTGATAAGAATATGTACTGATTAGAATATAAAAAGCCTCTATGGAAAAACATATATATCTCACTATCGAAAAAGACTATTACTATCAATATTACTGTTTAGAGGATTTTCCTCTTAAAATAAGAAACTCTTCTTGGCGCCCTATTTTAGTATAAAATATACTTAAAGTAAGTGGGATATCTCCTCATACAATTTTTCCGGTGTAGAATAAAATTTCACAGAAGATTGTAACATACTCGATATATTTAAAATTTAAAACGTGTAGATAATTTTATTTATATTATTATAAATAAAAGTACACATTTTTGGACCAAGTGCATCGTTGTCGGTAGAATAAAAGATCGAGAGAAGAAGATCGGCAAGTGCAACATCTGATTAAACGCGCGCAAATTGAAGACGAAGGCCGAAAGTCATTATCGCTCGAAGGGAGGATGAGAACATCGTCGAGCGCTTACTAATCATTTCTTTTATCGCAACGCCGGTTTACACAGTATTGCGTAATCACTTAATATCTCTGAAAACTTGGCGCTCTCGAGATATCTCGACAAGTGCGACAGATAGTGCAGTTTTCTTTCGTGTAAAACGTGCTTTTTTTCTGCAACCGACTGCGGATTAAACGATGATGGCTGATCTTTCGGCGCTTCGAAAAAAAAAAAAACTGAAACACACACGACGGGTGTTCGAAATGCGAATCAAAAATACTGTCATCAGAAAACAAACGAGAGAAAGACGAGGATCTGTTAATGTCCGCGGAAAAGCGGATATTCAGATTTCTAAAAATAACGGGACACACTTATAAGTTTAAGTCGTTGCGAAGAACGAGACATCTCTTCTTCCAAAAGGTGTCGCAATTTGAGACTTGCAAAACGTTTCACAAATAGTATCGGATTCTCGAGACTCGCGGATAGGCGTATATCGCAAAAATCTTGACGTTTTATTTGGAAAGCGGTTAAGATTGACGTCTCGCTAATTAACACGTATAACGGGGTGATAATTTCTGAAACGTAAATTTTCAAGTCAGTTGTCAAGAAGACAGAAATTCTCGCAATTCGCAATTCAGCGCATGTCAACGCTCACTCCATTTTACTCGACTTATCGCGAATATTGTGCAAACAAGCGAGCAAATATTTAACTTCGCGATTTGATTTGTTGTTCGGAAAATTTTGCGAAATTTTTCTGCGCGCCGTGTGACGCAATTCGCAGACAATTTGCGAAAAGCAATTAATAAAGATTCGCAAGACGCGCTCTCAAGTTCAGGGAAGTTGAGCTATTTTCGTCATCTTTGAAGGAAACTGTGAGACACGTGACATTTGATAAGTCGTATGCTCGCTTATCGCGCGACATAATTACAACTTAATCTGTCTGCGGGAAGAGATATTGTAATTTCGCAAATGTGAATTTGTGAACATTACGTTACGCACATTGCGCTGTTTTATACGATATGCGTATGTCTTAATAAAAAAATATAAATACACCGAAAAAATTGTATTCTTGAGGAGAGATATCCCACTTACTTTAAGTATAGTTTTATACTAAAATAGGCGCCAAGAAGAGTTTCTTATTTTAAGAGGAAAATCGTCTAATTAGCAATATTGATAAGAATATATACTGATTAGAATATAAAAAGCCTCTATGGAAAAACATATATATCTCACTATCGAAAAAGACTATATTCTTAAATTAAGAATATATTCTTAATTTCAGAAGAATATCATCTAAAATCTTTTAAGAAGATTTTTTAAGTATAAAATCTTCTACTTACGAGAATATAATTTTTTTGGTGTATATAAATCGGTAAATGTAAAAAAAATAAAACCTTTTGCAACGAGAAAAAAACAAGACGTTTGTTTACGTCCGGTTTTCTTTTTACCTATTTTATCTTTTTTTTTTATCTATTTTTTATCTTGCAGACACGTACTGACGCATGAATACACGTTGGTGTATGCGTAATGAACATCGCACGACGCGACAGTACCGCAAAAGAATAATGACTTACAAACTAATACAAACGCGCAAAAAGCGTATAAGCGGTGTAAAAAAGATTCTGTCCGCAAAATATAAAAATCTACTCTTTTTTGCAGAAAAAAATGTCTCAAAAACGGACTCAAACAGGTTCGCGTTATTCGCGGGCAAGTTGTCATCAGCTGACGGAAGTAAAAAGAAAGATCGCGTCGTTCGTCGGGTGGCACAAATGTAACAAGATCGATCTATCAAACCGGTTCGTATCGATTTCACTTTTTATTCTCTCTCTTTCTACGTACTTACGTACTTCTCCGCAAAATAATCGTGAAAAATGACTTCGAATTCGCGTAAGGTTCATTTTCGCGCGCGATCGCGCTCGCGAATCCGATCCTTTGCGAAAAATTCCGCCGATTTCGCGCGCGTTAACATAATTCGTCCACGTGGCTTCGGATTCCATCTCACTTACCCTGAATAAAATTCGGTAATCTGTATTGCAGCGCGTCGTACACGGGTAACGGATGATGGGTCATCGGATCGCGCGAATTACATTCCTCGGTGCGAAATAAAATTTGTGAATGCTGTGGACTGGTCGCTCCGACACTCCAATCCAAGCGTTGGGGCTCTTCGCAAGCGTGTGAACGCGCTCGTTCACACTCGTCACTATCCCGACGACTGGCGCGGCCGTCTAGTCGCCAGCTGGGTTCGTCAGGGGCAATCGTCAGCGAATTCTGTATGTAATTCTCTCCCTTTCCTCTTCGGATCCCGCCACATATGATATCGTCATCGGCTGGTGCGTGGCCCCACCACGGCGACGGAGTTGAGTGGACGAAGACACGTGGAACGCGACGAGAAGCGGCGACTATATATATATATTGAACGCGAGAAGAGTTTCGAGATGTTAATAAAGAAAACAATAAAACAAACACACAGTTATTTGAAAAACGTTGTAACAAATGAAAAGCTTTATCTCCGTTTTATGGACAGAAAACGCTTCGACATTGCGTCTCGCGACGAGAGAAACTGAGCGATGATTTCAAACGACGATTACATCAGACCGTATCTCTCAATGTCTCGCGCTGCAATTAATATTTAAATTTTTCTCTTGTTTAAAATGCAATATTCCTTGACGTAAATAGATCAGCATCGAGATAACTTCGCGTATAGACCTGGAGGAAATATTTATCGATTAAATTTGTTTCAACACGATGAGATTGTTTTAAAAAACCAAAGAAAATTGTTTTGTCGATACACACGTTTAACTGATTATTCGCGCAAACGAATGCAAAAGATATCGCCGGTTCGCGCGAAAAGAAAAAAAAAAAAAGAAAAAATGCGTCCGCGCATTTTATAAAGTTCGTCCTCTTCTTCTTCTTCTTCCATCAGGCGTGAATTGTTGAGCGCGTTAATAACACGCAATAAAGAGACTCGGTCGCAATAAAGAGCCACGGAATTTCTTGATTGCAGTTCGACGACGAGACGTGCTCCACGAATGGAACGCAATATTACATTCCTCGAAAGATTTGGTTATTAGAACGGCCCACTTTTGCCTCACACGCACACACACACACGTATACCGAAACCACAATTCTAAGCTTAAGATTCTTGGTTTAAGACTTTTTATTCTTTTTTTTTATATCCCCAAAGTAATGGGATAAAATACCGAAAAAATATGTTTTGAGTTGTTAAAAAGTTGCGACTGTGTGTGAAATTAAAATTTTTGTCCGCAAATTCGCGGACGGATTGGTCCAGAAGTTTCAAAACTGTGCGCGCATTATAGAACGCGATCTTAAATTGGCAATCTAGGCCGGTTTAATTTTCCACTTCGTTAATATCGGCCAATCTCTCTCGATTATTGGAAATAACGTCTAACGCATTTTATATAAAACCGATCGGATTCGCTGATAAAAAATAATCTCCTTCATAAAATCTATCTCAGAATCACGTCATTTTTCAAAACGCATAGAAACGTCTGCCCAGCAAACACAAAGTAACAGTAACGTAACATTAATGTTATAATTTCCCACTCAATAATGTAACTGCAATGTAACATGCCTTGTACGTAGCAGTTACAATGTTGAGTGGGAAGTTATAACATTAATGTTACGTAACTGTTACTTTGTGTTTGCTGGGTGACTCTTGTTCCTTGTTCTCTCATTACGTAGCGCGACATATTGCGTTATGTCGTGGTATTGTTTTAACAGTTAAAATATTGTTTGTTTTTAACATTGGTTTTATACACCGAAAAAATTGTATTCTTGTTTTGAGGATATCCCACTTACTTTAAGTATATTTTATGCTAAAATAGGCGCCAAGAAGAGTTTCTTATAATAAGAGTAAAATCGTCTAATTAGTAACATTGATAAGAATATATACTGATTAGAATATAAAAAGCCTCTATGGAAAAACATATATATATCTCACTATCGAAAAAGACTATATTCTTAAATTTTCGGTATTAGAGATTAATATCGGCGGAACAATATAAGCGAGAAGATAAAAACGTTTCTCGATTCGCTTTCCGGAGTTTGCGCATTTCGCACGCTCTCGGGATGGAGATCCTGCGAGATCGCTCGAAGGATTATCAGTCCTGATCCACCGTTCTCGGACATCACAGTTCATCCTGCGAAAACACAAGAGCGACATTCGAAAAGAGAAAGAACGAGTATATCAATTTCAATTGTTGTAAAAAATTATAATATCAAACACGCGACTTAGCAAAAATTCAACAACCGACAAAGAAGTTCAGCGTGTTTCTTCGGTGTACAGCTTTGTAGAGAAATTTAACGAAGATCTTATCGCGTTGACGATGACGGTGTTTCTGTTTTTGCTGATCGTTCTCGCGTGTGTCCATCCGGGTTGGTCTCGGCGCGGTCTCACGAACGCCGGAAATGAAGCGGTGCACACGGTTCCACTTGGATCTGAAGCGACTTTTTACTGGAGGTACATCTTAAATTTTATGTATAAATCATTATATCACCGAAAAAATTATATTCTCGTAAGTAGAAGATTTTATAAAAAATCTTCTTAAAGATTTTAGATGATATTCTTCTCTGAAATTAAGAATATATTCTTTATTTAAGAATATATTTTTAATTTAAGAATTATAGTCTTTTTCGATAGTGAGATATATGTGTTTTTCTATAGAGGCTTTTTATATTCTAATCAGTATATATTCTTATCAATATTACTACTTAGAGGATTTTCCTCTTAAAATAAGAAACTCTTCTTGGCGCCTATTTTAGTATAAAATATACTTAAAATAAGTGGGATATCCTCAAAAGAAGAATATAATTTTTTTTCGGTGTAGAAATATATTTTATTTGATGGCACTAAATAAAATTGTAAATGTTTTTATGAGATTATAAATATAATATTTAATACAATATAATATACAATATATAATATAATATTTAATCTCATAAAAACATTTACAATTTTATTTAGTGCCATCAAATAAAATATATTTCTATACACAAAAATGTTTTCGATAATTATTTGATCTTCGTCGAACAACATTTGCAGAGTGGATTTTGCAAACAAATCGGTGAATGTGGAGGTTCATTTTGTCGGTAACGACAGCACTTGGTTCGCCATCGGATTTTCTGATTACGGGGAACTAAAGCCGGCCGATTATTGCGTTTTGTGGTCTGATTGGCGTCAACAAATTCAGCTGCAAGTAAATAAACCTTTTTAAAAACGAATTACAACCAAAATTTGATGCTTTCGCCTTGTACCACATAAATACAATGCGCAAAAAAAAAACCTTACCCCGTTAAAATCTTCCAATTTTCAAAGTATCGACACATTTAGACATTTCTTTCGCGATAACTGACAGGATTCGTGGTCGGATATCGATGGGACGTTGCATCTGGACGATCAGCAGGATTGCAAGAACTTCGCATGGAAGAGACGCGGCAACGTGACGAAGTTTACGTTCGTTCGCAAATTCGACACCTGCGACGAACACGATTACATTATTGAGGTACAAAAAGACTTTGGTCAAAGAATTCTTCAACAATCACACAGTTATCATTAGACGTATTAAGATACACTCGAAACAGCTCGTTAATCTTGAAATACAAATAAAGACGACAGATGAGGAGAAAATTTTAATAAATTTCATTTTATTGTGAAAACATAAAATATTTAATTTATGTTTTCACGTTTTATTTAGCGATATAAAGATTTAAATTATATCCGAACATTTTTTTTGTGCACAGCGAGGTACCACGCATCTCGTGTGGCTTCGCGGACGCGGACCCCTGTCCTCCCTGGCCGGTCTCAAGATAACGGACGCGAAGACGTCGGGTATGTCTCGCACGGAGTTGCTCAGAGTGTCTCACAAAAAGCCCGTGTTTCCCGCGAACGCCTGGCAGCTCGATGTGCTCGCCCATCGGGTTCAAGTGCCCAAAAGGGAGACCACCTACTGGTGTCGCGTGCAGAAATTACCGTCGGCGTTACAGCGAAAGTGCGCGTTTCTCTCATCTTCTTCTCTTTTTCTCTCTTCTTCTTTTCTGTATGCAACAGATATAAAGTGAGAAACTTACATTGTATTCGGTTTCGCAGACATCACATTCTGCAATTCGGACCTTCCATTCAGACGGGCAACGAGCATCTCGTGCATCACATAGAAGTCTTTCACTGCGCCGGACCTCCGGAATCAGAAATGCCCATGTACGACGGGCCGTGCGACAGCGTCGATAGGCCTGAAAAAACACAGGTAATCTCTTCCCTTTTCCGGTGACGCGGAAGAAATGCCTAACGCATACCTCCTGGGGAAGGACCAGGGTTGTGTGAGGCTTGCATCCGCGAAAACTTGCGCTTCCACTCGATCTTTGAGGAACTAAAATTCGAACAGAGTTTCACACCGGTGATTTTTCACGTGTCCAGATCTGCAAAAAGGTGATGGCGGCGTGGGCGATGGGTGCCGACGCGTTTGTGTACCCGAAGGAAGCTGGACTGTCCATCGGCGGTCCTGAATTCAATCCGTACGTTATGCTGGAGGTGCATTACAACAATCCCGAGCTGCACCAGGGCGTCATCGACTCCTCCGGAATTCGCTTCGTTCTCACGGAGACTCTGAGGGAGTACGACGCGGGTGTGATCGAACTGGGTCTCGAGTACACGGACAAAATGGCGATTCCGCCGCGTCAGGTGAAGAAGACAAATTTATTTTTTTTGTTTTGGAAAATTCGTGTCGATTCGTGGCGAAGCTAATTGTTTTTTTTTTTTTTATTGTTTTTCCTCAGGAAGCCTTCATGCTGTCCGGTCACTGTATAACCGAGTGCACCGGAGTCGGATTGCCCCAGAACGGCATTCGCGTCTTCGCCTCGCAGCTGCACACGCATCTGACCGGCATCAAAGTTATCACTCGCCACGTGAGAGACGGCGAGGAGATAGCGTCGTTGAATTACGACAACCATTACTCCACTCATTTTCAAGAGATCAGACTGCTACCGAAACCGGTCACCATTCTGCCCGTACGTAATCACGTCGTTTTACAAATTTTATATAAATCAAAAGCAAAAATTAAATATCCGTATACAAAAACACATAATTAACTATATATAAAATCGATATGTTAAGTTAAGTTACTTTCGCAGGGAGATTCTCTGATAACTACGTGCACTTACAACACAATGAAGAGACACAACGTGACACTCGGCGGGTTTGCCATATCGGACGAAATGTGCGTCAATTACATTCATTACTACCCCAACGCGCGATTGGAGGTACGTTTCAGAGTTCGTCGTTTAATTATTTACATAGGAATTAATTAGAAAAATAGAATTTCTATTAAATGATTGAAAATTGACGAAATATTTTTACTTTTAGGTATGCAAAAGCGCCATAAGCGACGATGCCTTGCGAACGTACTTCCGTTACATGCGGGAATGGGAGAATCAAGGAACCAACTCGGAAAAGAGCATCTCGGCGAATTATAAGAGCATCGAGTGGACCAAAGTCCGAGTCGAAGCGCTTCATGATCTTTACGAAGCCGCGCCTTTGGGTTCGTAGATTAAAAAACGCGAACGCAACCGGTTCGAGAAACTTTTCTGATCAGATTTGACTCAATTTTAGTTTTCAATATCTTTGACAATTAGGTTTTTTCATTAAAAAGAGCGAATTAAATTAGTTTTTAATTACATTAACTCCGATTACTTTCACTCGGTTTTTTTTTTGACAAATATAAATCTTTTTCCAAGATCTTTAAAAAAATCTTTTGTGTTTATCAGGAATGCAATGTAACGGCTCGGACGGCTCTCGTTTGCCCGGCTTGTGGGACAATATCGCGGCGACACCCGTTAGATTGCCTCTGTCACCGCTGGCCCGAGATTGTCTGGAACCTTCGCTCCGGCGCGAAATATTAGATAATATGTAAGATGTTATCCGAGTCGTCGATTGATTGTTCCATTGTGTAAATACATCCCGGGAACAAACAAGTAATTAAAATTCCAGAGCATATTAACACGTTACGTAAATTGTCTTTCTCTCAAGTGCGGACGCGCAACGTCACGGTTGGCCGAAAATAAATCTTCGAAATAAAATTCAATAAAAAAAAAAAAAAAAAAACAAAACCCTCCAAAACNAAAACCCTCCAAAACTCCACAGTTGATGTAAAAGTTTATAAATCTTCAGTATATTTATGCACTTTTAAGTTTTTTCTTTTTTTTTTTTTTATCAAGTTTTTGGCAGTACATCGCGTCTCGCTGTGAGACAAGAGACAAAAAGTTTGCAACAAACGGTTACAGACTTTCTAACAAATGGTTCATTTTGCGTAGTAATAATAATAATAATAATAATAATGTCTTATGTGTGCGAACTCTAAATCTCTAAATATTGATAAATGATATTAATAATAATAATAATAATAATAATAACACAAGTGTAATAATCAAAGAAACTCGTTTTTACAGTTTGAGTCAATGTACAAAAAAAGGCGGACGTTTCCTTAACGCTACGACAATATCAAAATTAGTCTTAATACGTACTACGGTACTTTGTGTTTTGCGATATAATACACGGGTCACGAGGGGGGACGGGGGGAAAAAGGGTTAATACACGCATACAAACAAGCACAAACACGCACGCGGTTGCCTCCATACGCACGAGATACACAATAGTTGCCTACTTTTTTTTTCTCTCTCTTTCGGTCTTTCCTGAAACAATTTATTAATACTCTTCTCACAAGTTCACATTTCTACTGAACACTCTCGTCGGACTCTCCTTCTTCTTTTCATTTTTTTTTGTTTTTTTTTTTTAGATTTCAATTATTGCAAACATCGCAGGCGGCAAAATCAAATGGGACACTTCGCGTGTCTCGCGTTTTTTTTTTTTATTTATTTATTATTTTGTACTGCCAAATTCATGTTTCCTTTTCTCCCTCACTTTCCCTTTCTCTCGTTTATCGACTACAATCATACTTTTCTATCGTACAAAGCGTTCCGAACATCTTGCACTTAAAAAAAAAAAAATATTAATTAAATTAAAAAAAAAAAAACAAAAACCGGATGATCGTGAAAACTAAAAAAAAAAAGATATACAGATAGTTTTACATATGTATCTAGAAATGTATGTAATTTTTTTTATAAACAAATTTACTTTGTGCATTTCCAACTCGTTCTCTTGTGAAACATTGCACTTCTCTCTCTATCCGCGTAATTTTCGGAACACTGAGTGCGAGAAAGGACCTTTTTTTTTTTTTTTTTTGGCTCTTTGGCGTCTCATTAAGCTGCATTTTAGACGATCGTCTCAACAGAAATTAATAATAAGATCTTCACCAAAAGTACGGTCGAAAAATACCGTTTTTGACGGATTGAGGAGGACTTTTTGTTCGTGTAAAACGTCTTGTTGCATTGTGAAAATTCTGAGTTCTCTCGCAAATGGAATGGACGATTATAAAGTATATGGTACATCGCGTGAAAACCACATTGTGAGAAATGCCGTTCCCTGAATTTCTCAGAATCTCCAAGGAAGAACAAATTATTCTTTTTTTTTTTCTTTTTTACTTCCCGGATGTTGTGGCGCTTTTGCGAGATGCTGTTTTTTTTTTTTTTTTTCAAGTATACAAGAGTTATATCGTGTATATATAACTTGTAATAAGATGATAAAGTTGCACGTTGTGCAACGAATGTACAAAAAAGAGCTTGTATAAAAAGATTTAGATTCTCTGCTAGGAACACACGTCACGTGAAAAAGTTACTTATTTCCTAGAGCACACGCGGCCAGATTGCATTATCGAGTACATAAATTTCAGGCTTTTCGAATTTTAATTTCAATTTGTTTACATATATATTATAATATATATACACATACATATCACACACGCGTTTTATTTTTACTTCTTTTCAATTTGTAAAAAATTTATTTTTTTTTCTGAGAGAGAATCTAATATGAGAGAAAATCCTTCCTCTTTTTTTTTTCTTTTTTTAAGAAGTTTTTAAGATATTCTCTTTATAGCGCATAACGTTATAATAAATATAAAAATTCTCTTTTCGTCAACTTTAATTCACTTTTCCTTTGGTTCTATAATCTACGTTAAAAATTCTCTTTGGCCAATTTCGCACCTGAAATTTCTGTATCTCTTCACACGCATCTCATCTTGTCTTCGTTCTTCGCGGAAATCTCGTCGGTCGATTTGTTTGCGCGACAAACAGCCACGTCTTCGCGCACGGACAATACAGAGTAGAAAATATATTATGACTTCAAAAGTAAAAAGATATATGTATATATATATATTATCGTTATTACGTTTTATATATGTTTTCTATAAGAGTAGCTTCGCTATGTTGCTTTGCACGAATACAAAGGAAGTTCCAACCTTGTACGGAGGACTTTTTATTTATTTTTTTTTTTTATTATCAAAGCCGGTCTATTCGCGTAATATATTTTCAAGCTCAGCATTGCGAAAAGTTTATACGTCGCGTGAAAACTAATGTGTATTAGAAAAGAGAAATTGATTACCGTGCCAGTTCGTACGAATATACGAAAGAGATCGGATAGATAGGTCTGAAAGACGGACACATTAGCGACTAATTTCTCTCAAATTAATTAAAATCGTAATTGATCAACACAATTAAAAGTATCATTTGTTCAACATTTTAAAAATATTATGCGCTTCTCATCACTGTTTAAAAAAACTTCAGTTGCACAAAAAAAACGTTTTTAAAGGATTTGTGTATTTGTCTAGATTTGTCAACTGATAACGTAATACTGATAATAATTATTATCCGTTATGGCGATTGAGAAAATCTCATCGCATAAACGAATTTAAAAAAACAACTCAGGAAAAATAATATATATTTTTTTACTTACTTTGTTATTAAATCTATACGTTATTTAATCGAATTATCCTTCAGACACTACCATATTGTTTTTTTTGGAATTTGAGGGAGGAAGTTGCCGCGTTTTTGTTGCCGCTTGTCTACCGACTGCGAAATCGAGCATTAACGGCAACGTTAATCACATTCAGGAACAGGGGACTAGAGCGATTGATTGTTCTGTTGTTGCATGTGTAACTGCAGGAAGCAGTAGAGTATGCCGGCTTGGGCCATTACGTCGACAGTGCCGGCAGCGAGTGGATCGCGGCTTTTGGCGTCGCTGCGCGAGTTGCTGGTGCCCGGTCGCAGCAACGTAGGACCGAACACCGTGGCCAGGTTGTGCAGTGACATTTTGTTTTGTGCCTCGTGTTTGTTAACGCGTGCTAGATGCGCCAGCAGAAAATCGATCACCGCTTTGTTGACGGCGGGCAAACTCTCGTAAACACGGCGCAGAGAGGCACCTCGTGACAAATCGCCCGTCTGAAAGGCTTCCAGGAACGACGGATAGAGAGCGTCTGTAAACAACGCTTCTGGCATCTCACGCAAGTACAGCTTCAGCACGCCCGTCACCGAATGCACGTCCACCTTGGTACGCGTAAAAATGTCAGTAATGCAAAGAAACCTTTTTTTTTTTTTACTTTATAAATTAGTGATATAACAATTGTAAAAAGTGTTAGAAATGCAAGCACCTCTTTGAGAAGCTGTTCCGCTTCGTACGAATTGCTCTCGAACGATTTGCGCAGTTTCGCCACGTCAGACGCCGAACCGGAAACACGATACAAGCCTACCTCGCCGACGCCCCGTCTCTCTACCTCTCGCACACATGCCGTGATTATAAAAGGCACATCGCGTTTCTCTCGTCTGAAATGTTGAGCGATTGATTAGTGTTTTTCTTTTTTTTTTTTACTTTTTTTTCTATTGGCAATTCAAATAAAAATGCACGTACTTGCACACTTGTTGAATTTTGGCGCCGAATAAGCCCTGCGGTTTGGCCGAGGGTACTCGCCTCAGAGTGACTTCACTCGGAACAAATCGCAACGCCACGTCCAACGTTGCAGGTCCCAAGTTCAGAGATCTCTCCACTTGGTCGGATTGCAGCCAAGATCTGCTCAACCGTTGGATACACTTGCCTCGTAGTACTGAGCGCGTACCGCACTCTTCATATAGCAGAATCCTGACGTTCTGACTCCCTTCTAACTCAACCACAAAAGTTTCACCTGTAACAAACAAAAAATAAAAACTTTCTTAACCAATAATTATTGTAATAGAAAAAGTTCAAATATATAAAGCGAAGTTTATATTTTCTAAAAAAATTTAAATTAATATTAAAAATATACTTGTGCGGAAGAAACATCTTACCCCACAATGGAGCTTGACCTCTGACAACACGACTCCGCGCCCTCTTAAAATAGTGTCCATAGCTGTCGACTTCTACAATAATATAGAGATCGCCAACCCTGTCTAAGCCTGGCGGAGTAAGTCCGAGCAGTGTCAAATGAAGATCACCCAATAACAAGCTCTCATCGCGTCCCGATCTTAATAGGTAGCTGCCCATATCAGTTTGTAGATAAGTCCGACAAGCAGTAACCCAGGCTTGCAATTCGTACATTGTCAAAGGTAACTGTCCCGGAGGTTGTCCACCCTGTGATAAAATATTAACCTCGTTAACGTAAAGTTCCCGCATTCTTCAAAGACATTCATTTTCTTCAAGTTAAAAAAAAAAAAAATTATATTCTTGTATGTATAATTATATAATAGAATCTCTCTACCTGCTGTAACGCTTCCACCGCTTCCACCCATTGAGAACGCTCAAACTCACTGGAAAGAAAGAAGGTGTAGGAATTCTGTACGCGATTCTGCTGATTCTTGTGCGCGACACGCAGGACCAAGTTCGGCGAAGCTAATACCAGTTGGGCCTCAAGCTCGGCGAGCTTCTTACGATTCTTCTCCGAGCCTCTGCCACCCAATCGGATTCGTTTCTCCTCGTTCCTCTCCTCCCATAATATCTGATCGCGAACTGTACACGCTTGTGACCTGTGTGTTCCGAGATAACAATCTTCAAGTTTACTTAACCAGATCAAAACTTTTATTTTCTTTAATGATTTTGGCAGACTAACTTTTAATGACATAAACAACGATATAAACAACTATTTATTTACTATTTGACTTGTGATTTTGCTATTTGCTTGAATACACATATCAATGACTAATCAGATAACATCAATCATCGTACATCGAATAAGAATGTCATCAGATCGTAAGTGTGTCATTCCGGTGCTTAGTCATCGTTAATAATTGATACTGCGAAGTTGACAGGCTTGTAACCTTACCTTAAAGCTACCACATTGGCGGGGCTAGCCTCGCGCGGCTCTATACCATCTTCGGTGACAGCGGCTTCCGCTATCGGCACGTACCACTTCAACTCGAACGTGAACTTGTCCCTCCCGGATGCTTTATACTTCGCGCATGCGATCACGTCGTTAAAAAGAAATAGGTGTCGCAACTTTCTGTGACCGTCAGAGAGCTCGACCACGAACGAATTCTTCACCAATCTTCGTTGAGCTCTGTCGTGACTCTGTTGTGTTTAGAAGAAAACCGTTCAAGTAATTATTATTACATATCGCGTTGTATAAAATAAAAGAAACTATACGATTATGTAATCGTTGTGGAAAAATCGCGTTGCAAATCTTACCGGAAACATGGATTTCGTCTGAATGATATTGAATTCGTCTAAGAAGTTCCTGGTCATAGCCAGTGCTTCCGAGAGAGGCGCGTGATCCGCATGATTGACTGGCGTGTGTTTGAGAAGATCCTGAAACCAATGACAACGAGATAAATTATCAATGCTAAGTTAAAAGATAAGATTAAGTAGAAATTACGACGTAAACGGAACGTATTTTCAGAGAGTTAAGATTCGTAATAGCTCATTAATGCGATTTTATCGGATGTGGAAAACTATCTTTTTGTTTCTTTTCTGTGGGAAAACGAATTTGATACGTGTACGACGAGAATATGTACATCAGTCCTGTACTTACGTGTAAAACCAGAGCGTTCTTTTGTACTCGGGCAACTGGCTTGTGCAACAGATCCTCCAGCGACAAACCCGGACCCTTTGGAAAACCCCGGAGTCTTATGTCTCTAGTTATCTCTCCGAATTGAGTAGAATGGGCGGAACATCGCCGCACGGTATCGGTCGCGCGAGCATAATTGTGCAAAAACGCACCGTATAATCCTATATTACTGGCCATAATCTGTAAAAAAAAACCGATATATAAATGTTACAATTGTTACAAAATATATTTAACGACGATCTTCGTCGTAACAAACCTTAAATTGTTCTCCTATAGTGGTCTTGTTGTCCCACTTTTCCGCTTTCTTCCGCAGATCGTCCAGAAACGTCTGATGAAGAGCATGAAGTTCCGGAATCTTGTAAAACATCGTCCCAAATTCCTCTTCCGAAATGACCGGTTGAGACGTCGTCAAAGTTGCCCTAATAGCTTTCATATACTGCAACAAGAACAACAGTTGATCACACGTGTAAAAAAATTATCACCCGCAAAAATATATATATATTTTTAAGATAACTCACTTGTAACATCACAGTTAAACACTCTACATATACAGCCTCGCTCTCGACTACTGAATTTACAATACACTTGACCATCGACGTTCTGTCATCCTCGCGGTCTTTGCTCTTTTCTTGTCTGCGAGGCGTCGTCGGGGTCGGTGACTCCAAACTACCCTCGCTCAAACTCAACGGTTCGGCGTCACTGCTGCCGGTTTCGTTGTCCGTGCTGAGAGCCCGCAGCAAGATCGGCGGCGCCGGACTGGCACCTTCTTCGTCTTCGCTATCCATCGCTGCTCTGTGTCTAAAATAGTAAAATTAAAAATCCACGTAATATAATCTATTTTTTTCTACATTTTACTCATGTAAATCCAGCAACCAGTAACTTAATTAAAAAAAAAATGTATTTCATTTGAAACAAAGCGAGAAGAATGAAACAAACAACTTACTGTATAAAATAATCGATGTTGACATAATTACTCTGATTGCCCGGCGAGTCTGGCAATGAGGGTGGTCTTCGAACCGCGGCTTTGCTACCATTGCTGCTATTGACAGCGGGAACACGCGCGTCTATGTACACATATTCTCCTGTTTGATCCAAGGCCACCGAATCGTAATAAGGTTCTTCCTCGGACGCTTCCGCATCACCTTCCTCGCTGTCTTCGGTGCCTGCTTTTTCTATGTCTATTTCCATAAATGAAACAATAAATTTTTTTAATAAATTTCTATACCCACAAACTTCGCGACAGTTATGTAACAAAGAAATATATACCTTTCTCGTCTTCTTCCTTGAGAGATTCCTCGTTCTTGTCTTTCTTTGAGCTCCCGGTAACTTCGATTACCGTGACATAATTACTTGGCACATCCGGATCACTGTTTCTCCTAAGTTCAGGCACTTTCTCGGGACTTTTCGGTATCTCGCTCTTCGGCCTCTTGCTGGCCGTGCCGAGAGTTGAACTCAATTCCGACACGCACTTGTCTTGAAATTTGCTGATGTCCTCACGTTCCGTCAGGGTGGGAGCTGTCGGTTTGAGATTCTGATAATTTTGCGAGTTTGAAGAATCAACCAGATTGTTTTCCGACGACACTTGCGTGCCATCCTGTTGCAACTGCGATCCCGTTTGTTGCTGTTGTTGTTGAATGTCAGATGTGTTCGCGCTGCTTGCATTGGTGTTGTTTGCCAGCTGCTTGTGTCGCTCAACATCGGCGAGTAATCTTTCCAAATACTCGACGTAAAACTCTTCCTTTTCAAGTTCCTCTCTTAAAGCCGTTACCTGCAGAAACACAAACCCAAAGATTTTTTCTTTTGTCTCTCGAAATTTATTTATTTTTTTTTGTACAAATACAATGTCAGACTTAAAATTACTTTGATATTTTTACATTTTTAAATATCTGATTAAGATTTATGTGTTATTTCTTAAATTATGGGTTTATTTATTTGTGCAAAATTAAAATTTGCAGCCAAAAGTCTTTAAATTCTGTTTCTTTTTTTTTTTAAATAAAAAAGTACAGATGTACAAATACATAAAAACCCAGTTAGTACAAAGTGCTATGAACTTCCCTGATAATCTAAAATAAATACATTTTCCCGAATGTTGTGATAACAGAGGTGATAAACTCTCCGATGATTCACAAAGCGGTAGTCAAACAGGAAGTCTATTATGTTTATTGTTTCCTTTATCGTTTCGTTAAATTTACTTACGAAAACAACGTTTCTCGTTTAAAGCACGTTAAAAAGAGAATCATAATTTAGTAGATGGATTTAAATACATTAATATACTCTACTCTCTCTCTCTCTCTCTCTTTCTCGCTAGCAAGTTTCGAAGCAATTCGATGAGTCATCAAGCTAGTCAATGTGTGGCATTAATTGAATTACATGTGAAGGAAGTTTTTTTTTTTTTATAAGTAGAGAAATTAAACTTTCTTCCTGTGAATATCTTTTCCTTCTTCCTCAAATTAACATTCGACTCATGTTTTTTTCATAGAAATTCATTATCTGTTTAAACGTGCACACAAACACCGCGTGTGTATTGTATGTACGTGCGCACCCTCTTCTCTAAATACCTGGTATAAACATTGTAACACTTCGTGATACAGTCACAACCTAGTTATTGCGCAATACTCCGCATCCTTGTCTCGCTTATAATTCTCTATCGTCGGATCTACAATCAATATCAATTATCCACCGCTATCTTAAAAAAAAAAAAAAAACAATTGTGTGATTAATTTCTTCTAAAATGTAACAACAACTTTATTTAAAATTGACCGAGGAAAACTCGTTGCTCTTCGCTTGTTTGATGACATGAGTCATTAAGTGAAGTGTTAATTGTAGCATACGCGCGCACGTACAAACACACACACACACGCGCGCATAATCACGCCTACGTGTTACAAGAGACAATTAATCGGAAAATCCGATTGGAAAAAACTTTCGTCGCAAATATCGTCGAAGAGAAAAACAAACAACGCGCGAGTTGTGTGTTGTTGTCATCCGCGATTTACTTTTTTTGCTCTCTGCGTGCGCGGTAGCGTAATCGTCTGCCAACAAAACATCATCGTCCGCAGTAATATCTCGATTCGGGAAAATGTCAATGAAAATCAATCGCGCGCGGAGTCGGGAATAAAATTGTCATTCCGAACGGTCCATCTTTCTCGATGTGATGCACAAATCTTCCTTCCGAGAATAAGACCGCACCAACTCACCTTTTGCTTGTGCCTAACAAGGTTCGCGCGAACGTCCTCCTCCCAGGCGGCCGGCAAGGCGCTGTCCGGGAATCGCTGCACCCAGACACGCTGAAAGTCCCCGAACACGCTCATGCCAGCGAACGCGGACGCGCGGCGGGCAACACGGTACTCTCCTCGTCGGTGACTCCGCCTTCCCTGTCTTTCTCCAGGACCTAACTTCCACCATCAAACCCTATCCACCACTGCTACACCCAATGTGTCACTTTCACTTCACAGTGCCGTCGTGCGCATCGCACGGGGGCGCGGCACCGACGACGATGATGTCAAGTCTCGCGCACTCGACACACTTACTCGGCTACGTGACGAAACGTTCACCCGTGTGTTTCCGTCGTGTTGTTGTCCTTGCGCGGACAGGCAACGGCGTAGCCAGCCAGCCAAGCGTCGTCATACAACCGCTGTCATTTTGTCGACACAAGCAGAGAGAAGTCTGAGAGCGGCCAGGTCCATAAGAGAATGTGTAATCACTTTTCCGCCCCGTAAACTAGCGCATGTCCACGGGTGGTACACATTGGAACTACGCAGCCAGTCCACGAGCGACACGTCGGTGCGATATGTCCACAGCGTCCGGTTCTATTCTGTGCTATGTGCACGAGTTTAAATGGTCACTTTCTTTATGTAAAATTTCAATTGGCTAAACATTTACCATTTTATTTTAGCACAAAATGTTTACGGAGACTGAGTGACTAATAGAGTTAAAAAAAGAGACTGATTGTGAGAATGGTTACTAACGTTGCAATGTATATGTTATATACGTAAGATTTTATCGAATTGAAATAATTAAAGCCTGAATCGTTACGTGCACATATTTTTTAAATATTTGAACTTATTACTTACTTGCAAAAGTTTAATCATTAATGGTAACATTTTATAGACACAAAGATATTTAATAAAAATAAAATAAATATATACGTAATATATATTTATCAAAAAGATATATAAAGTTTATGTATTTGTATATAAACTTCTGTTATAAATTCATACAGTATGTGTGCCCGGAACTCTCAAACAAATTAAAATAATGGAAACGTTTTCAATATTATGTAATAATAACAGAATAATAAAACCCTTGGTGCTGAAAAACACATTGCAAACTAAATCTAATTTATTGTTCCTTTTTCTATTGTTTCTCAATATACAAAATATGATAATTACTTATACATTTTATTGTTACGCATGTATAATTTATAAGTCATATCGCATATACATATAATTACGCATATATAATTTATATAAGTTATATTGCATATATAATTTATAAATTTATATGCATCAAAATTGATTACTTACATTATTATCATAACTGTTTATTTTTACATGTACGTTGTATATACATACATCTATTAATCCTTAATAATAAATAGTATGGTTTATATACATACGTATATTTATAATAAATTTACAAATTATTGTTTAAAGATTGACAAATTATTGAAAGAATGTAAGAGAATTAAGCAAGAGAGAGAGAAATAGCAAGAGAATTGAGCGAATAAGGTGAGTTGCGCGTCCTCCGAGAGCTTCGGAAATTCACTGAAAGTATCAGGATCACATGTAGAGCGAAGAGGTAACGCGAGAGGTATCTGTGGGCGAGGCTACGCGTCCCCCCATCACCTCCTACGCGCCGTGAGTCGCGCGGTGATTGGCTGAGGCGCGAGCGCTCCATAATGGCCGACGCGCGTGCTCCGTAATGGCTGCCGCGCGCGGGGTGGGGTCAAGCGCGCTATAGACACGCCCAGGAGCTGGCGCGTATACCTACTCGCAAGACATACTTCCCTGATACCTTCGCTCGATTTCAGCTCGTTTTCTGCGTCCCATAGTTTCCAACGACCAAGACTATTACGCGTAAATCTTGTGCTCTCGTTCGCTTGATTATTTATTATCGTGTAAAATAAAATAAAGAGAGAAAGGCAGATAATAAATAAATAAAAAAATAAATAAATAAATATAAATAACGGACGAAATATTATGCAAGTCTTTTATTTTCAATACTTATCGAATATTGTGTCGAATTTTGTGTAGATTTTTATTGTACCAATATGTATAAAAATATTACATTGTTATTTTACAAAATTGATTTTCTTGGAAGTAGTCACGTATATTCACGTGTAATCACTCGGTTTTTTGATGTAAATTTTATATCTTACATTACATAAATTATCTACCTACTCTAATATAAATGTACCTATCAGCTTTACTTTTCTTGTATCTTACACGGAGCTACACTGAGAGCTTCGAGCACCGTATTCAACATATCAATTTGCATTTTTTTATCGCCGTCGGCGTCCAACACGCATCTACCGAGAGCTTTTCGAATGCTCTGAGAGAATCCGGCGCTACGTGCGATAAGCTTTCCTTTCTGATTGTTGCTGATCAGAGCCAGCAACATGCAACTAGCTAAATTAATCTCACACGACGATCCGGTCTTGAAGATGTCGTGTAGCAAATTTATAAAATCCACTGGAAAAAGAGTAGCACACAAAGATACGATAAATAGTTTTGTTGTTGGAAATCAGAAAAATTCAAAAGAAAAACATAACGACGGTTCATCATTACCCGAACTAAGAAATCGAGGTCGATTGGCTTTGTTGAACGTTAAATTGCGAAGTATCGATACGGCGAGAACTCTATTCACGCGCGAAGAGCATCTTGCCAGATGCAATAAAACATCCATAGCGTCAGTGGCCTAAAAGAATATGGATAAAAATGTTTTTTGAAGAAAAAAGTAACATATTTTTTATACCTGCACGTTGTTGCTTGTCCTTAATATTAATTCGCGTCGTTAATCTTACCTTTGGCACGCATAACTGTCCTTCCTCGTAATAGGTGAAGTCCATCACAAACTCGAGGCAATACATTTCCACCAACGGCCACGGTTTCAATCTTTTGGTCACACTGGGATGTATTTTTGTAAAAAACTGAAGAAGATTACTCTGGAATAAACAAATTAATTAAATTGTTGCTTGATCGAGTGAGTTTGTCAGACAAAAAGAACAAAAAATAAACGAACATATGTAAAAAAACGTTACCTTCGAAATGCAAACTCTGCACTCGTAAGCGCGCAAAACATTTCGCAGGATCTGGAAGGCGAAGAGCATCTTGTCGTTGTCGAAAAGTTGAATCGAAACGTTGACTTTTTCTATTTCTTTGGACGATATTTGTATAACTACGTGTATCAGCGAATACGTGGTCGGCGATTTTCTCAATCCAGTTCCCGGCAGTGTCGTCGTTAACGTCAAAGACTGCGCGACTATATCTTGACACGTCAACAAATTTGAATAAAAAAATTGCGTAACAAAGAGAAATTAAAAAAAAAAAAACAAAAAGATTCCGATTAATTTTGACACACATCTCAATATGACATATTACCATCTTCGGCAGGTAATCTCGCTGTGAACGACGCCAATAATTTTAAGGCGTTCGTTGATATCGTTTTGTTTAACGCTATCCAAGCCCACAATTTGTGCAAAATATCCGCCAAACCTTTCCTCGCCAGATCTATTTTAACAATCGCGCTTTTGTACATGAAGTTCAGCAGAAGCAAGAAAATACTGTTGGCATCGTTCAGCAAAGGATGACTCTGCGCAACGAAAAAGAGAAATGATACTTTATATCTGAAGCAAGTAAAATTGTGGCCAAAAAAACATTCAAGCGTCTTCCGAGAAAACTTCTGATTTTGCACCTTCTTCTCCGCGTGTTTCTTATAGATTTCGAACGGTTGAAGATTCAGTTGAACGTACAGTTCTTTCAGGATCATCAGTGCGGTTTCAGAAAGATCAACTTCTTCCAGCGCCGTTTGTTTAGCCGCCTTCGATACGTACAACAAATTAGTAAAAGCAGCCACGATGACGATCTTGTCTTCCGATTGTTTGCAGTTCTTCTTGGACGTCGCATAATTGTGAGCGACGAAAAGATTCATCAGGAGTTCGCACAATTCGCCGCCTATCGCAATCTTCCCAATCGGCGGATTGTCGTCGTCCGCGTGTGAATCTTCTTCTTCCTTATTGTTGTTAAAAAAATACAAAAGCAGTCTCGAAAAAAATTCAAACATTTTAAACTGACTTAAATTTATAAACAAAATACGCACGTTCGTGTTGATTCCCTTATTGTGTTTCTGAGAGTTTGAGATAGTAATTTTTATTATTTGACAAGATTAAGTCTCTTACGTTAATTTTCTTGGGAGAATCAAGCACCGCGCGCAAAGAGACCCCGTTTCTTTCCAGAGTAGAATTTTGAATGTCTTGAGCCAGTAGAAAGGACAAGCAATCGATAGCGCTCATTCTCAGATCTGTCGTGGAATCCTTTATCGCTACGCATATCGAATTCATAACGAGCATCGGGTTGCACAACTGCAGCGCAGTTTGAACAGCCTCGAAGTGCTGATCTTCCGTTAACGAGAGCGCGGCTATGAACTTGTAGATCTCCGTCCACAGTCTATTGCGTAGGTACATCAGGCGCGGTTCGTCGCATTCTAAGAAAATTAAACGCGAAGGATCATCAGGAAAGACACGCGGCGATACATCCATGGGGGGGGTAGTTCACTCGCAACACTTACGACACAAGTCGACGTTCAAGAAGCGAAACAAAACGTCGAGTAACTCCGGAGGAAAACGAACAACGATGGCGTACTCGTTACTGTGTATCAAACAGCTAGTAAAAACCGTACAAATACTAACGTACATTTCCAATACGTTGGAATAGTGACTTGAAGTTTTTCTGCTCTCAGCGTTCGTTTGATTCGCGAGCATGAGACACCTGATATAAAACGATATAAATAAAAACAAGATATTTTTGCGCACATACGTGAGAATAATGTACCTGAATAAAGACTTGTCGACGGAATGTTCGTAAATTTGTTGCACCACCTCGTGCTGTCCGATAGTGAATATTAAATTGTACAACAAACTGCAAACAGCCGTGACGAGCGAAGGCGTCGCTATTAACTCCATAGAACTGTCCATGTCTGTTACTTCCAAATCCAGAGACACTGAGCAGCAAGAAAACAATAAATTTTAAGTTGCATAAATTGTGTACAAATATGCTCGGTCTAAAGCACGTGAATGAATATACTGCATTTACAGATTTGTGATTCATCCTGACAGTTGTACAAACGCCATATGTTATGCGGCACCGGTACAATGTACTCGGATTGCATGTTGGTTTTGTCACCGTCCTGATATTCCGACTGTTCGGTATCTAACGTGGTCGCAGTATAGATATTGGAACACAGAGCGCTGATTTCGTCATAGGTGTTATGTTGCTCGATGTACGTCAAAATAGCTTGCGACTGCAAAGAATGTTCCTAAAAAAAAAAACATCTGGGAAATTATCTTCTCATCTTTTAAGCTCGCGCTTGAGAACCACAAGGACACAACAAATCATCTATTTACAAATTATTACACGCAAACAACACACGGTACGTGTTCACTATGCTTACACACTGAACAGTCAAGGAACTGCAGTTTTTCAACAAGTTGCAAAATGCTATACACGCGTGTTCTTTCACCAAACAGGCCTCCTCTCGATCGGTGACACACTGAAGCAACATATGACACAGATCACTCGGTGCCATCGCGATTAGATTGAGAAGTTGCGGTACAATGTGCATTATGTTCATCAAACCTGCCAGGAATTGCAAGACCGAAGCGCGAACCAGAGGATCCCTGCTTCGCAATAACATGGGCAACCACTTTAACGTGCGATCTTCCTCGCACCAAAATGCCGTCCACAACTGCAACGCAACATGTGGATATTGTGAAGAAGATCTGCTTGCGAAGAACGCGTCCTAAAAGTGACGGGAATACTCACGTGCTTGTTGAAACAGATTTGCATCTGATGTAACAAATGATTGAGACATATTATCGAGTTTCTCGTTATCGACAATCCCATAAAATTAAACTGACCGGCATTGTAGAAGGAGCTGATTAGTTCTAGGAGCGCGTTGCACAGGGATTCTAATAGATTCTTGTGATTTTCCCATTCGCACTGTCCGATCAGATACATCAGACACGACAACAACCAATCGAGATACGCTGTAAAAAAAACAAACAAAAACACTAATTCCAAAAACCTGGCGAAAATATAAAATGGCGTGGCTCGATAAAATTGTAGAAATTGCGCGCGATAAGAATGCAAGTCAAGTGACCTAACCGAGATTGTAGTAACGCTGATTTCCAAAAGACGTCGAAACAGCAAATTCCACGAACAATATCCAAGTGTTCTTAGGTTCGTCGTTAAATACTTGAATGCTCTCGATCGCCGCACACATGCGTACCAATCTAAGTACCGATTGGTAAACATTTCGACTGTTAACTTCCGAATTTGTAAACAGATCCGCCAACGATCCCGTCATATTTTTCAGGATCTTACTGATCCACAAACTTTTTCCTGAGAATGATTTAGAAAGATCGATTTTCATTGCAACACCCTGTAACTTCTCTCGTTTTGAGAAATTGAATGATATTTTTTTTCTTACTGTTTCTCATAACATTCAGATACAATTGTAAAAATATCAACAGATCCACAAATAAATCGCAGTCCTCCTTGATCGTGGGATACAGCGACAAAAATCGTTCGAACGTTTCCTCCCACGGTAGCGATCCGATATCTTCGTCCTTGTGTTGCAGTGCTTTGTAAAAATTTAAATACCTGAAAAAACAATTAAAAACATTTGAAGCCAAATAGTAAACCAATATTGCGCGCGCGCGTGACGTTTCAATTTCAACCGATATGTGACTGAAACAATAAAAAACATAAAAAACAATAAAAATTTACATTGTGAGATAATCAAGCGCGCACGTAACGTCGTTGTGTGTCTTTGACCTTTGAATATTGAAAAGCTGCTGCTGACAGCAATAAAAAGGAAAGCTATTTCGTAGAGAATAAAGGTCATGTTCGGTGGTCATTAATTTCTGCGAAATCTCATAGGTCCTTAAATCGTCCAACGTTTTCCACAATATCTTTACGCCGTAACAATTCCACGCCCAATATTGTCGGATAAAAGTTATGACTTCCGGATTGCTGGTGTGAAGCACTACAAAACAAATTGTAACAAAAATTGTTTATTTTACATCGCAGGGAAATATACGTTTGCAGACGCAATTACAAAACTACCGACGCGCCATATCGGATTGTCTGTGTTTACTGGTCTTCCAGTGATATGTGCATTCAAACGGCAGTTTCATTTTTGTCACGATAATGTGCGGTAACGATATATGTAACGCGACGCTGTTCTTCGTGTCTTCTTCGTGAACTCTTACGTCACCGCTAAAGAGAAGCATGCACAGCAGTTGCGCGCCGTCAATTTTCACACACTCGTTGTTGGGAAACAAAAACAGACCTGAGACACAAAACATTCTCGTATTATAATTTTTATATCGTTTCACGAAGATATAAAAATATTTTGACACATCAAATATCGACATTTTTAGAAGATTGTGTTAACTCAAAGTGCGCTTACTTCTTACAACATTTAACAGAACGTCAATATTGACCGACAACTCGTGTCGTACGGAATTGTTGAAAAATACGAGTTGCTTCAATATGTTGATGATTGGTATCACAGAATCCGGATAGTTTTCGCACTCCTTTTCTATCAAAGCTTTGTTAAAAATATCCAAGATCAATGGCAATCCGTTTTTACTAAGGAACAAGTTGTGCAACGAATGATCGGAAAGCATTACGCTAATCTGCACCAATTCGTTCTTTCGTATCTTTGGATCGACAATGTGGGACTCGCTCAACATTTCTAATACTATTAACAGATTGCTCCTCTGCAAAAAAAAAAAAAAAAATACATTTTTGTGAGTAATATCTAAAATCGCGCGTGTAAGCAAAATCTAAAGAAACGAGAGAAACAAAATTTCAATTGATTATGATTCTCTAAATATAAATAAATAAAAGAATTTTTAAAAATACATTATGTATAAACAAAATTATATATAACCTCATAATTTCCTTTTGCACGCTTAACGCTTAAAGTTTTGTACTCAAATATGCAAAGAGAACCGAGAGGCAAGCCGTGCAAGGATGACAGACGTGGCAATTTCTTGAGAGAATCCTTTTCCATTTGGAGAAGCCAGATCAGGCGATATATCGCTTCTTCTCGAATTTCGCCGCACGGCGAGTAAAGAAATCTCAAATTACCTTTTAACACCTGAAATTCAAAAGCTTTAGAAAAAAATAACTAAATAAAAAAACATATTAAATAGAAGATTTAATACCTCGATAAATGGCAACTGTATGTCATTGGACACGTCGGGGTCAAACATCTTTGTTATGCACTGCCCTAAAGGTGTGCGAGTATCAGCGTGGCACTGTAGAAGATGCAGCACAGGAATAAGAGTTTCTAAAACTTGCAACCATCTCTTTTCGCCCATTTGTATTTTTCCTTTTAATATAAACACTATTATATCGTTCGACATTTCCCGTATCTAAATGTCAAATAAAAAATAAATAACGTAAATCATATAAAACTTTTCGTGTAAATTAAATTTTGCACAAATACAATTTCTCGTATGAAAGAAATGTTTCTTACTCCGCTGTCCTCGCTTGTTAATCCGTGACAAATAATTTCCGCGAGAACGCTCGGTCTGAGTAAGAACGTCAAGCTTTCCGACGACAGTTTTTCACCGACGTATTCAACTCCCAAAATATTCTTAACGAGAGTGTAACACTCGACGTAAGTCGCGTGTTGAATATCTACGTCTCCGTGTGCCAATAAGCTAAGTATTAATTTTGTTCCTAATTCAGTTTCTTTGCCGGTTGAAAAACATTGAAAACTGCTTCGTAAAAATTTTACAGCTGTCTTAATGACAGTCAAGTTTTTGTGGTACGATAAACTCAATGTGGACTGGTATAATATTTTCAATGTTTCTAAGAAAGATTCGGCAGACGATTCCGTTAGTTCTTCCGATTTTTTCAATATAGTGATAGCCGCCACCATTGATCTCGTAACAGTTTTAACTTCGTCAAAAAGTTCTATCGACGCTACTTCTTCGTCGCCCCGAAATTCCTATAAATTAAAAAAATTGTAATCAGAAAATGACTGAGTGAAAAAAAAAATTTAACAGCCGATTTTCTTACGCGAGCGTATTCCAAAAGCAACGAGTGCAATGGTTGGTGCAACAGAGACATCGGTGCGTCCATGATAGCTCCTCTTATGGACACTTTCAGGGCATCCGGTATTACAATGTTTGCTAGCTCTAGCGGCACAATATTGCTCAACAATTTCATTATAGTAGTAGCGAGCTGTAAGTACGTTATCCTCAAGTGATCCGTAATACTGTAGCCTCGAAAATACTCCATCACTTCTCCCAACAGATTAAACAGTTCTTTCAAGTCGTTCTTTGTTCTCAACGCCGTGACGTCATTGCACAGCCAAATGTTGGGCATTACGCTAATAATTAACAATTGCACTAACTCGTGAGCCAAGTCAGTGATGTATCTAACGTCTCGTAGAGGAAAATTCGTATCAACTGGTATGCTTAACTGAGCGAGAACGTATTTCAGAGTCTCTATACAATAAACCGGTAAAAACATTTGCTGCAGTTGCAAAAGCGAATCGTCAACCACAGTTTCGCTAGTACTCTGACTCCTATTGCTTGTTCCCTTAAAATAATTAGCTACGATAATACAAATATAAGAATACAGAAATTGATAACAATAGAGATTAAACTTACTGTCGACTGATACACTTGGTAATTAGCCTCGGGCCCATTGCTATCCGGGCCATCTTCAGCTTCCAAAGATACGAAAGCATTATCATTCAGCAACTACATAAACAAATATTTTCAAGAAAGATCAAATTGAAATAATTAAACGTTAAAGTCAAAAACTTCTTACTGCCAATTATTTTGCTTACTTTTTGCTTTTTATTTGCCACACAGGGTTCACAATAATAATAAATGCGAAATCTTAAGGATCGAGTAAGTTTACGCAAAGTCTTCAATACAGTTGGAACTACAGACTGGATGTTAGCTTCGAGCATACTGTTTGTTCTCAGAATATTGTGAAATATTGTAATTATTGTTGGTCGTTGGAGAAAGACCTCCGCTGGAAAGTCTTGCATCATAACATCCATTATAAATTGACATGTGTTCAAGATGGTCTTAGTATCGTTGCTTTTATTAAGCTCTTGCTCGGTTGCGGTAAGCACTGCTATATCTGTTGTAACTAGCGGTTGCCATGGCAATACCAACCATTTAATACCACCTACTGGCGATTCCGAAACTTGTCTGCCACTTTCGAGCTTTGATTCTGATGATGTTTCATTCGTTTGGGTTGTGCTACACATACAATTCAAAATTGCTCAAGTAAGAAAAAAAATAACTTATACAAACATAACTCATGCGATGATTATTTGTTATTGCACATTTAATAGCGTACAATAACAGGTCTCTCTTTAGCATTTAGTATTTCAGTGTTACTTTACTTACTTCAAGATAAATGCAGAATTAAAGGTATTAGAGGAACTTTTAGAATTTTCATTTCCCGAAGATTCCACGCTATAAATCTCATGGTTTGCGAATTTTTGTGATTTATATTTATTAACTGTGTTTCTAGTAGATCCCTGCAACATGTATAATACTTTGTTTTTCTGAATATTCATAATAATAATAATCAATATCAGTGAACTGTAATCAGACAATATCACATCTCGCTACATGTATAAATTTGTTATTCTATATGTTTTATTTTCTTACTCCTAGTTGAAGTAAAGCTTGTTCAATTTCATCCAATATTTCGTGAAATTCCGGCGACAACTTTCTTCTTAAATTATCAAGTTCATTTTGAAACTTTGACTTGCCAAACGCATATACATAGCCACTGGGATCAGCCTTAAAATGAAGATTGCACGTTAATCACAATACAGCAAATTAAACAAATAAGAAAAACTATTCTAAAAAACTATCTCAACAATGTTGTTTAAAAACTAATTTAAATAGTAACGCCCTAATTAAAGAAAGACATGTGACAGGTCTCGCTCTCTCTAACCAGATGTACTATTTTTAAATAGTTTTTAATATATTTACTTTTACCAGACGCTGCAACAAGTTTAGCACTTTCTCCGGGTGCGGACAGGTGTTAAATGTAAACCAATTGAACAGTCCCTGAATAATCTCATTTTTTATAGCGTCGCACTCGCACACAAAACCGAGATCGTACTTGGTAATAATATTGAGCAAAGCTCGCACTCGTATCTCAACAATACTGTGACCTGTATAAAATCAATGCGTTATTCTCAGAGTTCGGCTCGATAGATTATAGATAAATACGCCACTCGTGTTGTTTACCTAATTTTTTCACGTGAACGGGAGTTATTCCAAAACCCAACATTGTAAACAAACGCAATGATTCATGTGGGGGTTCGTAAGTTTATCAACATTCCTTCCTCTTCGCCCGAACTTTGATCGGTGAAAAATTCGCGTCAAAACGCATTCAGTTTTACATATGTTACGGTACTTTGACCACCGTTCGTCGCGCAGTTTGTTTGACAGTTTTGACATACGATTCCGTGAACTTTCAAAACACCGCGAAGGCGACAATTCTGGCGGCAAGCGAATAAAGGTTTGGTTTGGTGCGCTTGTGGCTCTTGGACCTATAACGATTAGTCCATACGCCAGGCAAGTGAACAAATTTTCCTCAAACCCAAGATCAACAAAACGCGAGAGATACGCTTCTGTTTCTCCGGAGAGAAGACTCCGTTCCGATTGGACTAGGCGAGGACAAAGGCTTGTTTTCACGAGCCAATCGCGCGGTCCTCGCTCTCGTATCTCGAGATTTTACGAGAGCCAATCACGTGATACGACGGAAAACTCCGAACCCGAGGTGGTAAGAGAAAGTTGCGTTAGATGGCGCCTCTGTTACTGTCGCCTATGTTCAGCGCGGTGGGCGCCAAGTCGTTTCGATCAAATATTAACAGTGCGCAAATCCGGGGAAAATGTAATTACGGTGTTTAATTAAAACATTCGCGGTAATATGCTAAACGGACGTGTGGAATCCGATACTTTGGACCGAGCACGGTCGCCGATGATGGGAGAAAGGACGAAGTCGGCCGACTCTCTCAGCGATATCGACGACGAGAAACAAAAAAAGTTGGTTTTCTTCAAAGTCCCATTTAATTCATCTTACGAAATTACAAGGATAAGTTGAAGCATATGTTCGTCGCTAACAAGGTACGTGTAGGTAGTAGTATTACAATCGTTCGAATTTTTTTTACGACACTGAATTACATAAATTTGTATATGTACACATCATTTAACTGCATATAAACATACAAAAAGAGTTACGAGATTTGCTAATCGATTGGCTCGATCAGAGCCGAAATTAACAACGCGATCTAAGTGTCGTTCGGGATTCGGCATCTTTCGGATATTGCAGTTTTTTTTTTCTTTTTTTTTTACGTCAAGTGTTTACATAGTGCAGCTCGAAGAGTCTCCTCAAGTGATAGAGAAATCTTGTCATCCCGTGAGACTCGGTGAGAAAAAACATAGAGTATGTCGTAAAACGAAAAAAAAAAAAATGAAGAAGGTGTAAAAAGTGTATATATATATGTATATGTAATTTCCAAAAATATATTTGTACAAAATGATTTTTTTTCCGTCAAATATCGTCTTTTGTTTTCGCGCGCGACGAAGTTGAAGCGAAAAGAAATGACTTTCAGAAAATTTTGTTGATATAAATCACTAAAAAAAAAAAAAACAACACGCGAGCGAGAAATATATTGCGGCAACGATTTGCGGGAACAATAATATAATTATTAACGTTAACATCGCGGGTTTCGCTTACGGGATGACCGATAAAATAAAGCGCCCGAATAAAAAATTGCGTTCCGATACAAATATATATATATGTATACAAATTATATGTACGATCCGAAAGTATCTTCCCACGCGCTAATGATACGATATTAACGAAACGTTATATAGCGCGTTTGTGCTTGCAATTCGGTTCGTGTTTTGCTTGGTTCGTTTACAGCCGGCTGCCATAAAAAACGTGATTTATGACGCTTTGTGTAAGTATGTGTGTGTGTGTGTGTGTGTGTGACGGCGAGGGTGGTTGGAAATAAGCCATCAATGAAATGATCGTGCAACGGAGAGGAGCGCGCGCGTCGCTCGCGCTTTTTTCTCACGCAATTACGTAATTATATAGCCGGTATTCACGGTCGAGTCTTATGTTTGCGGGGGGTAGGGTCTTAAGTTCGTCTTCGGACGCTCTGTAGCCAGTAAAAAAAAAAAAAAAAAGAACGCACTTCATCTCACGACGAACCAAGAGCCGATTTCAAGAGCCGACTGTAAATGTCGCTATATATTTATGTGTATATATATATAATAAAACATTATATACAGGGTGTCTTCAACTCACTGCGGAAGATGTCTCAATAACTTGGAACGTTCCAGAGAATTTGTCGTTAAATATTTTCCGGCAGGAAGGTAGGTAAAGTATTTTGGAATATATATATCTTGTATATTGTATACACATATCTACATAATCGCGCAGAAAAAAAAAAAAAACGCGATGCGACACCTAAAATTCGTTATTAATCGCATAACTACGCGGAGAGAAAGAGAGAGAGAGAGAGAGAATTGCTCTTACACTCTAGCTAATACACAGATCGATTTTCACACACAGAATAATAACAAGCGAAGCTCGATCACACTCTTGTAAAATCCGGCGCTCACACTGTATTCTTTTAGTGATGCACGTCTGCATCAATGAAGTTACATCAGAGAGAAATCGATAGCATCTTTTTTTTTTTTTTCGGACGCGACGTATACAATTTATATCTCGATGTTTATTTCTCTCACTCTCGATTCGACAGAGCTCTCTCCCCCTTTTGTTTTTTTTTTTTTTGTTTTCCTCTTCTCTATTTCACTTTCGTTTCCCGTCAGGGATTAATCTCCGAATAAACAATATTTTTTTCGCAAAACTCATCCCGATGGAACGCCGTGATCACATACTGTTTACCAAAGAGCATTTACCGATCGCATCATCCCAGCCCCATTCACGCACAGAAAGAAAGAGAGAGAGAGAGAGAGCTCGGCCACGTTCGTGATATTATGGTCAGAGTTTTTATTACGCATATTAGAATTATTGCTTTTCGTTACCACTCGATTAAATGCACATGCGACGACTTCGGTTCGCGCGTGAGAAAAAAAAACGCGATTCGCAAATATATAAACTTTGTTCTTTCTTCTTCTTCGTTCCGAAGTTTCCTCTCGCATTTGATCTACAAATTGCGCGTCAAATACACACATGATGTAATTCTATATATATAAACGTTTATATCATATTAAAAACCTATTTTAATCTCCATCTTTGTAGCAAACTTCGCAAATCCAATAGAAACGCAAATCAATTATCGATGCGCAAAATTGCGATGTCGCAACACAGTTTGGTGCAACAAGAGTCCTAAATATATTTATTCGTTTACACATTTTTATTTCATCGTGCAAGACCAAAGCTCTGATCAGACTTTATCGCACGCACGATTTTTTGCGTTTCACTGCGGATTTTCTGCGGGTTGAATTTTGCGACGGGTTTTTTTTTGGTTTTTTTTTGGTGTGTTCGTTTTTTTCTTAATTACTTATTACTTTCGCAATAACACTCGTGTAGCGGCAGATCGACGCGCTGTAACATCTAAGATCTATTTTCCGGACGGGTCTTACGAGTCTTAATAGTCTTGCACGTTTTTTTTTTTTTTTTCAGTTGTTAATAAAATTCGCGCCTCAACAGAGCACCAATGACTTTCGGAAAATCCGCGATTTCACAATATACGCGTACATGTACGAGATTCGTAAAACTTCTCATCTATTATTTAACAAAACTTTGTTTTTTCAATTAAGTTTCTAATTAATAAAATATAATTTTGTGTGTGTGTGTGAGTGCTTTTTGTTTTCCGAGCGAAACAACTTTAATAATAACCACGCTTATCGCGAATGAGATTAAATGTCGAAAGTAATGAGCCCAGGCGTGAAACCATCGACCGTGATTAGTCGAGAAAATGGACGTGAAAAGTAGTTTCGTTCCGACGACACGGATTTTAATAACGCGCCCGTTCACGGATTTACAATATATATAAACGTGCATAGGAACGCGATAAAAGCGTGCGTATTATGTGTGGTTTTAAAGCTACGAGCTCTCTTTGATCTCCTTTTAACCCCTTCCCGACGACGACGACGACGACGACGACGACAACGAACGGTGTTTTTTTTTTTTTTTATATATATATATAAAGTATCGCGGCCCTCGGTATACGACGAAACTCTCGGAGATCTCTGATATATATATAAAAAGCAATGTAAAGATAAAAATTATGTAAATTACAACAATCTTCTCATCTACATCTACACGTTATTTATAGCCTATACACGCGCATAACATGACATTATTATAAATATTCTACAATAAAATCGTTCTCTCTATCAAATATACACGTAACGGTACACACACGGGTAAATTTTGTCACGTAATCGTTGCCCACAAGAGGTTATGCAATTTTTTTTTTTTTTTTTTTTTATTTAATAGAACTACGCGCACATACGCATTTAAAAAAAAATGCGCACGTACTCTTACGCACATATATACTATACTTTATTTCTTGGAGTATCTTTTTAGCGTAATCGCATATCGCTCGCAATGAATTTTTATTACATACACATCTACTAGTTTATATTTGAGCTATCGCGCGATGATCCTAGAAAAGACAATTTTTTCCGCATACCGAGTCTCGCGAAACTGTCGTCGCGTTGAATTTTTTGTTTTTAGAAAATTATTACCACACACGTGACGACATCACGTTTCGAAAGCGCGTTTCCCGTTTGTTGAAAAAACGTGCGTAAATTTCCGGATCCGACGATATAATGTCACAGAATTGAGCAGAAGAAGGGGTTAACAACAATCAGATGATTTGTGAGCGTTGTGTGCGAAATTTCGACTCCGATACATCGAGAAGCAAATTCGATTGTAGCGTGTTTTTCTGCATATACATATACACGCAATCTCTCGTTCCCTCGATACAAATACAGAGAAATCCATAATGCAATATCTTCATTTTGATATTTCTATTAAAATAATATAAATTATCGAGCGAGAATTCCCGATATAAAATGATATTAAATATTCACATGTGCAAATGCGTTTTGAACACATAAAATTACATATTTTGCGATTTAACGTACAAAAGACAGGTTCGTTAATTTCTGCATTCACATTTGTTTCTTTATTAATCTTCTCTTTCTCGTAGATATTAATATATTCAAAATTTTTTTTGCACTAATTTTCCTATCAGTTCCACGTTTCTCTTTCTGTCTCTCTCTCTCTCTTTCTCTCTCGCAACAAAGACAAATTTAATAAATTGAATTTGCATCGCCACTCGATGTAACGGAGGAAGTGAAATGTCGCGGCGTTTATTATAATTGCACGAAGCAAGACCGGTGCTTCACAATCGCGCATAGACGTAACAAAAGGCTAGAAAATCGACTTTGCGAATCGTATATGCAGTTAAACAATTGGACCGAGTATTACAACGTATTAGGGAATTAATTAGTTAGATATACGCCTCACGTCTAAAGAGCGGGGGGCGTACCGGTTTTAT